AAGCCATCACTCTATGGTATTGTGTTATAGCAGCCTGAATGGATAAAGACAAGGTGGATCAGGAGTTCAGCTTTGAATACGGCAATTTGAGGTGTTTAACAGATGTTGATTGGAGATGTGGACCCAGCAGTTGGATCTAGGAGTCTGGAGCTTAGGGGAGAGGTCTGAGCTGGAGTTACAGGTTTGGGAGTATAAAGATCATCCAGAGAGGGAGTGAAGTTAGAGAAGACTTGCACTGGCAAGTTAGGGTTGGGAAGATGAGAGGAAGAAAAAGCAAAGGAGACTGAGAAGGACTGGGCAGTGATGGAGGAGTGTGATGTCTTAGAAGCCAAGTGAAGATGTATTTCAAGGGAGAGGTGTGATCAGCTGGGTCAAATCTAAAAGTAAATCACATCTCTGTGTAAAACTGTAGTAATTATTGAAAACTTATGTTTGTTCTTTAGGTTTTATCTTACTTACTTCTCAAGATATACAGAATGAAGTATAAATGCTCCATTCTTTCTTCCTGCTCCCTGTATGTAGCATAGTTAATAGTTAATAGTGTGGGTAACCTTCCAGATGTGTGTATTTATATATCATATTGATATCTGTGTATCTATATCTATTTGTAAACTTTTGTCTTAAGATATTTCAAATATACAAATATCCCAGTAAGTAAAGACTAATGTATTAGATCCTGATGTGACTTCTCTGGATGACTTAAAATTTATCTTTACTTCCTTATTATTAGAGTTCATACGCATACGTACACCTTCTTGCTTGTGTGCACACGTGTGTGTTCTCTCTCTCTCTCTCTCTCCCCCCCCGCCCCCCCCCCACCCCTCCTCAGGCTCTTCCAACCTGCCCAAGGCTGTGCTGTATTTTTCAGACAGCTGCAGTAACAGCAGAAACGGTGGTCCTGTTCCCACCTGGGTCTTGGGAGAGCTGCAGAATTAATGATGCAGAAAACAGCAGCCTCCACAAGAAACACGTGAAGCTTGCTGATGAAAGTAGCCTTGGGGAGCCCCAGGTTTCCATTTGGAGAGCTCAGGAATGCCAGTGGGAGAATCATCATCTAGGAGAAAGTCTGAGGCTTTGGTATTCTTCAGTCTTTACCTCAGATCCTAGCTCTTGCACGTAACTGTGATGATGGACCAGTCGCACCCCAGTTTTCTTCATCTATGGACTGGAGAGATCAATTCCCACCTTAAAAAGTTGTGAGGTTTGTAGGTGATAATGTGCGTAAGTAAAGTGCCTAAGAGAGGGCCTATCACATAGTAGGTTCCAATTACATTCATTCTTTCCCCCAGGTCTTTCTCATCTTTTTCCTATTTTACTGTTGAGGTAATCAGTGGATGAAAGGTATATTATTTAAGTAAATATATTCTGGTTATCTAGAAACGAATCTTGAGATTAAAGAATTTTAGTACATGAAGTAGTTGAGCTGAGACTAGAATTCTACCAGTTTTTTTTTGTTTTTTAAATCCAATTTCTTAGCCAGTAAGCTTTTATTTTATTTATTTATTTTTGGTTGTGTTGGGTCTTCGTTACTGTGCGCGGGCTTTCTCTAGCTGTGGCGAGCGGAGGCTACTGTTCCTTGTGGTGCACGGGCTTCTCATTGCGGTGGCTTCTCTTGTTGTGGAGCATGGGCTCTAGGCACGCAGGCTTCAGTAGTTGCGGCATGCGGGCTCAGTATTTGTGGCTCGTGGGCTCTAGAGCACAGGCTCAGTAGTTGTGGTGCACGGGCTTAGTTGCTCCATGACATGTGGGATCTTCCTGGAGCAGGGCTCAAACCCATGTCCCCTGCATTGGCAGGCGGATTCTTAACTACTGCGCCACCAGGGAAGTCCCTAGCCATGAAGGTTTAAAAGAATTTTACTGAAGGTGTGTTGAATTGTTCAAAATCCAGTACACATTTATTGCACTGTGCTAGGGCAGTGTATAAGGTGCTTAGGGGACAAAAGTGAGTGCACTGACCCCAACCTGTCTCCCTGGGGCTCACATATAAACAGTGTTAGCGTATGGAGACCTGTTCCTTTAACACAGAAGAAGGATCAATAAATTACATCTGGGGGGTTTTAGAGAAAGTAGGAGAGAGGAGATGACATACTATGTCAGGGCCACAGTTCTACACCTGAAGAATCTGGAGCCAGATTCTTCATGTCCAGAACATTTAGGTAATGACTTCCTTGGGCAAGCTCAATGTTACATAAATTACATACAGATGTTCATAAATGTGCATTTACTTGTACTGAGGACTTCAGTCTGTTAAGATGCTTTTGTAGCTTGATTTTTGAGGTGGGTCTGTTTTGTTATCAGGTAGCTGTGGTGAGTGAGTTGTTTCGAGGAGGGGATTTGTTATCACTGTAAAGCGGCAGGGCTAGGAGAATTTAATTTACTCGTGAAATTTAAAAATTAAGGCATAGCTTCTATAGAGGGAAGTACACAAATCTTAGGTGCACAGCTGGATGAGTTTTCCCATAGGTATGCACCTGTGTAGCCATTAGCCAGACTAAGACAGGGAACATTTCCATCCTGCCCGCAGCTTTCCTCTTGTCCCCTTCCATAGGATGTCCCTCCCATTACACCTCTGTCACTGTAGCCGAGTTTTCGCTGTTTTGAGCCTCACATATTTGGAGTCATACAGTATGTGCTCTTTCATGTCGGTGCTCTAATGCTCAACCTCCCATGTTGTTGTGAGTTGCAGTAGTTCATTCTTTTCTGCTCTGTGTAGTCTTCCATTGTGTGAATATACTTCCACTTGTTCACATTACTGGTGACAGTTGGTTTCCCGATTTTTGGCTATTGAGAATAATGGTGCTATGAACATTCTTGTATATGCCTTTTGGTGGACACGTACCATGCATTTCTTCCACGTGTATTCTTAGGCATGGGATTGCTGGTCGTCCAGCCTTAATGGAGTCAAAGTGGTTGTTCAGGTTTACACCCCTGCCAGCTATGTGTGATGCCACCACCTTTTAACCCTTTTAGGACTTGCTGTGTTCCCCACCGTCGTTAACAGCACCACCGTCCCCACAGGCACCAAAGCTGGAAACCTTCCTGCCTGTTTAAGATCCTTTTCTTTTGCCTTGTCCAGGTAGGTCATCGACAGGAATGGCCAGTCTTCTGAAATGTCCCAGGAATCTGTTTTCTCTTTTCAGTCCCCAAATGTCTTCCAAATGGAGTGGAGAGCTGAACTTCAGCAGTGATAATAATGAGGGTCTCATTAGGATTCATTTTTGCATGGTTCGATTGTTGGCATAGCGGTAAGGGATGGCACATTGTATTTTGGAACTTCCTGGATTCTCCTTAATGGCAAACAGGTAGCAGAGAACTGAAGCTCGCGGTTGCAAAGTGAGCATGCACAGGCACCCTGCAAAGTTAGCTGCATACCAGACAAATGAATAATAACATGCTAATTATTATCCTGCCTTGGAGAAGGTCTGGTAGAGTTATAGCTTCAGGCACTGTGTAAGACCTAGCTTTTTTTTTTTTTTTTTTTAAGACCTAGCTTTTTAAGCTGGCAAAACATTGATTACTATTTTTAGTTCAATTTCTACCCTTAAAAAAAAAGGTCGCATACTCCTTGCTACTCCTGGATGGTTTTATGTATTTTAATTAATGTTATCTTATTGCCTTTGTGCTCCGAGGCTGCTTTAGTGAAAGATGTAATTTCAGAAGGCTGATGAAATTAGATGGGTCTCACTGGGAAGACTCTGTTATTCATATTTATGGTTATAAAATATTTCAGGTACATCTATGTATGACATTCCTGGGCTGTAGGCACACAGTGTTCTGAAACCATTTGTCTTAGAGTAGTTCAGACCAGTGGAACAGTAGTAACTCTAGTTTAGGGGTGATTTTGTTGGTTTTGGTGTTAAACATGTCTTTACATTTTTCCCTTAGAATCTCATCGTGCAATGATAGGTAAAGAAGTGAAAGTAATTCTATAAACCAAGCACACACAACCCTCCCAGCTTTATTACTTTGTAGTCAGACCTCACATATTCTTGACTGAATTGGCATGAGATATGGAACCCGGTAGAAACCAGCTCTATTTGGGTCTGAATGAGTAGCCAGCTGTGGAGCATGGAAAATATATTTAAAATCATTTGCCAGAGCTGAATGCAGTTAGTCTTGCAATAAAGTGAAAGGCAGTTCTCTGAGAAAGAAAAAAGAATGTCTTGAGTGAGGCTTGAAATAAGACGCAGTCAATAAAGAGAAAGGCTATAATAAGCTATTTATTATGATCAAATGCTGAGCAGAGTTTCTCATTAGTGGGAGTTAAGAATTAACATATAAGATGTCACAAAGCTATTGAACAGTGATTATACCGTATCTTTCCTAAAGGTTAGGGTCCTGAAAACCCTCTCGATGGTAGAACTTGAGGTTGCAAAATTTAAAATCCTAGGAGGAAGGGAAGAGTCAGGAGTCTCAAGATAATAAGCGAATCTCAGGAACTTTGTGCACAACTTTCTTCGAAGTTTCCCTGAGATCATATAGCCATGTGTGCTTTAGAAACCTCATGCCTAGTTTCATTGTGATAGTGTGTATTCCTTTTGCTTTGTGACTATATTAAGAGGCTTTTGTTTTATCCAGGGGCTAGTCTCCTATCCAGATGGAAATGCCTTCCCTCCCCACCCCGCCCCTTTCCTTCCTTCCAGTATTCCCATTTAGTCATTTCCTGTTTTGTACCAGGTAGTATTTTAGGCTTTGGGGACACATTGAACCAAAGTCCCTTCCCTCAATAAGATTACGTTCAGGTTGTGGAAGGTAGACAAGTGTCTCAGGGTTGGGTTTTCCTGAAGCAGACGCTGAGATGGAGTTGGGGGAAGAAGATGTTTATTTGGGATCAACACGGTGAACAGAAGGGGGTGGAAGCAGCATTGGGCCGAGAAAGAAGTTGAACTGTGATGCAGATTTGACATGACAGAGCCCCCACCAGCCTGTGGAGACCTCTGGAGTGACGTGGATTCCCTGGCAGAGGTTCCGGCACTGAGCGATGACCTCACTCCTTTCAGGTGTGTTACCAGGTGTAGCTGCCCCAGGAGGGGTGTGGCCTCCGGCCGGAAGCTCTCTGCACTAAGGCTGACCAGCTGACCCCGAGGAGCTGGGCCCTGGAGCCTGTCTACCTGCAGCTGCTCTGCGGGTCTTAGCAGTGGATCTTCCAGTCTATCACAGTAAGTGTTTAAAGTATCTGGAGGTGACAGCACAGTGATGGAGAAAGATAAAGCTTGGGAGGGGAGTGGAGAGTGTTGGAGGGAGAAGGCCTTATGGAGGTATTTAAACAGTGATCTAAAGGAACTGAGGGCGCTGGGGCAGAGCAGGCCGGCTATGGGAAGAGCTGGGCCCTGAGGAGGAGTGTGTCTGGCCTGTTGGGGGAACGTCAAGGGGCCCAGTGTGTGAGTCAGGGTACAGTCATGTGGGGCCTTCGGGCCGTGGCACGGAGTTCACCTTTTATTCTGTGTGAGGTGGTGTTTTAATTTGCTAGGGCTGCTGTAATAGAGTACCACAGACTGCATGGCAAAACACCAGAAATGTATTGTTTCATAGTTCTGGACGTTCTAAGTCCACGATCAAGGTATTGTAGGGTTGGATCCTTCTGATAGCTGTGAGAGTCTCTGTTGCATCTCTCTCCTAGCTTTTGATCACTTGCTGGCAGTAGTTGGTGTTCATTGGCTTGCAGGTCTCGGCCTTCATCTTCACATGGCGTTCTCCCTATGTGTGTGTCTTTGTGTCCAAATTTCAGTCATATTGGACTAGGGCCCACCCTAAGGACCTCGACTGATTAATCTGTGATGACCCTCTTTCCAAATAAGGTCACATTCCGAGGTATTGGGGGTTAAGACTTCAACATGTGAATTTGTGGGGGAAACACTTCGACCCACAACAGGTAGGAAGCCATTAGAGGGTTTTGAACAGGTTAATAATATAATAATCGGATTTATGTTTTACAAAGGATCACTCTGCTTTGTGGAGATTAGAATGAAGGGAGGAAGCAGAGGCATCGCTATAACTGAGGCAGGAGATGTTGTTTGCTGTGCCAGGTGCTAGAGGTGGTAGTGAGTGGTCAGGTTCTCGATATAAGGTAGAGCCGTTATCCCGTTAGATTAGATTAGATGTGGAGAGAAGAGGGGAGCGAAAGAGAGGAAACAAATGCAGAGGCAAGGATGGCTCCTGAACTGGAAGAATGGAGTTGCCATGTACTGAGATGGGCAAGGTTTTGGGAGGAGCCAGTTAGGTCGTAATAGTAGGAATTTGATTTAGGACTTAAGTTTGTGATGCCTGTTAGACACTCATGTAGAGAGGCTGAGCAGGCAATTGGATACATGAGAGATTCTGGAATCCAGAGTTCAAAGATGAGAAGGGACCAGCAAAGAAGACCCTAGAAAGAGGAGTCAGTGAGGTAGAAAGTGAACCCAAAGAAAGAGGGGGCCAGGGTTTCAGAAGGCATGTAATGAATATGTTTCAAGACAGAGTAATCATCCATTAGAATAAGGATTCAGATTGACCACTGGCTTCAGCAACATGGAGGCCATTGGTGACTTTGACAAGAGCAGTTTTGATAGAACGACAGGGATGAAAGCCTGATTGGGGTGAACTCAGTGGGAAGAGAGAAAGTAGAGGCTGTAAATATAGGCAGCTCTTACTTTTATGACTAGCTTGCTGAGGCTGGGGGCCCATGTTCACCCCAGAGGTACGGAGTAACTAGTATGCTAGAAAGGGGAAAACCTTTGGGAAACCTTTATGTAACTGTCTTAGAATGGAGGTCAGGTACTTCTCAGGCTCCCTCCCCATTTCTTTTACAGGGTTATTTAACCTTAACTCTGCTCGGTAATAATAACTTCATGCCAAAGTATGTTATGTTAGCCCCTCTCAGACAAGTTTTAGCTCCTTTCCTCCTAACAGGATAATATAGTAATACTGAGTTCTTGAGGGGTGAGTAAGGCAGTCTTAGGGTTATATAGGATTAGTCATGAATTTATAAGGGAAGAAAAATTTGACCTGAAAGGAAATTTATCTGGGATTCACTTGTTTGAATAAGGAAAATGAAGAAATTGTACATAATTAGCACTCAGGATAATTTACATTCAAAAACAATTTTAGTAGCTTCTCAATTTCATCCTTCGCATATGTTAAAATCAAGAATTATGCATAAGGTGTAATTGACAGACTTGAATATCATCTCCTGTCATCTTCCCAGTCCACCAAGGTAAGGAAGCAGAAGACCCCAAAGGACAACCGCAATAGTTAAACAGAAGGGCCTTGGGTTGTATCTGCACATCCTCAGTGACTCAGTGAAGCTATTAGGAAAAGCTCTGTGCACCTGCTGGGAACTGAATGTAGGTGAAGGTGTGAACTTAAATTTTCAGGGAGACCTGTACAATTTCAGAATCCAAGGAGATATTAAATGCTTTGTTTCTACAAGGCCATATTAGGTCTGAATCTTTTAAACATAAATGATAGAATTAAATTTGATCACTAATGTCCTCCCCTCTTTGAAGGGCACACCTATTAACTCACAGAATTCGCAAATGTGATTATTTTGTAAGATGAAAGGGATTTTTTTCTTTCAGGGATTTATTCCCTTCTACTGAGTTCACAGAAGAAAAAAAAGTGGGGGGGGAGTGGAATTAAACTGCACAACGAGAAGAGCTTTAGATTTAATAAAAGGGAAGCTTTTCCTAATGAGGCTCCTTGAGGCTGGTCATGGCTTCTCTGTGGGATGTATAAACCACTGCCTCGTAGATGGTCAAGGTGTGGAAAGGCAGGGTGATTGGGAGACTTAAATGGGGGTGGGGAGGCCCCTTGGTCCATTGGAAGATATAAGAAAACACCTGGGCAAGTTTCACTCTACTTTTAAAGACCCTCAAGCAAGCAAACCAGCACAATCCCACCATTCTGCAGGTTTACTTAGGCTTGTTCAAGACCTGTGGGACCACGGTGTTTGAAAGCAGCTGTGTCCGTGTAGGAGATCGTGAGGTAGAGACAGACATACAGCTTTATACGGATTCACAGACCCAAGCCTTTGCCCTCGAGACAAATGATTTCTCAGGTTTTTGTCCATTCCTCTCGTTATTGTGTTCTTGAAACTTTCCCTTTTGTCTTACCTGAGATTGGCCTCTTAAATTCAGCAGTGAAATTTAGGTGGGAAAGAAAGAGGAGGATTAAAATTAGTTGGGTAGTGTTTCTATTAAATCTTGTAATGAGTTAACATTATGGAATACTGTTTTGTCTTCTTTCCCCCCGAGGCTGTAAAATATTGTCATTTCCAAGATAAAGGAAGATTCCTAGGCTGCTGTCTTCCTTTCTTCTGAATTCATATATAATCTCAAATTATTAACCCTTTGCGGCTCTTTTTTATGCCAGTGTGTGTGTTATGGGAAATTTTAAATAAAGCCAGCTGTGTTAAATATTCATAGAATTGATTTTCACTTGTTTAAAGTCTTTGGTGATTTATCTTCAGGGAGTGTTAATACGGCAGTAATTCTGCATTACATTTCTTGCACCAACATTTAATTGATACTGTATTTCACGAGGATTATTGCAGGTTTATTGCTGTAGTATTTAGAGTTGTGGTTCTGTGCTAGTAATTCAGAGGAATCGGATTCCTGAATCTGTTGTTTCCATTTTAATTGTGTGTGCTTTTGAGCCGACAAGTTTGAGAAGGGCCGATAACTGTTTAAAAGACCTGATGTACAAAAACCATTTTGATGGAGTAGACCTGAAGATACTTTGCTTGTGGATGTCGTTGTGTGAGTCTTTTTTTTTTTTAAATGATGGTACATAAATTTAATCTGTATTCCTTTTTAAAATGATATGAAAATTGATAAAATCTATATTATTTTGGTGGATATTGGTGGCTGCTTTACTTCTTAATTAAGGTATCTGGGATGTCTCAGACTGTGAACGGCTGCAATTGTATTGCTTTTTAAAGCAGACTGACTTGCATTGTTATGCTCTTCTAGAAACTGCAGTAGTTTTTCAAACCACTAGGACATCAGTATTCCAACTGTGCAGTTCTCGTTGGAACCTCCTGCAGTAGGACAGTTAGTAGGTGCTCACTATTATATTGAAAGAACAAATAAATGTCTGTACAATGAAACACATTTTGTTGAGTAAATACACAGATGTCCATGCACTAGAAATGGCACATATATGACACAGTAGTGGGCCCTGAAGGAAGGAGGAAGGTTTGCCCATCAATCACAGTCCTTAATAAATCCTGGCTGAATGAATGAAAAGCAGGAAAAGAGGTCGGAGGCAGTTCTAGGTGAGTAGAAGGAAGGAGTGAAAACCACAGAGGCTGGAAAGTGTGAGGCCAGGCCGAGGTCTTAGTATGTTTTATTGGATTTAACTCGGGCAGGAGAATATTCTGGAAGGAACTCCAGACTAGGGGTTGGCACTTTGGTTCTTTGCTACTGAATGTGACCTTGGGTGGCTCTGAATTTTGGGCCTCTGCCTTCCCTAAAGGCTTACTGTGAGCCTCAGATGAGAAAATTTATATGAGTGTTTTGCAAGCCATGAAGGGTCATACCTATGAGGTGTTGCTGTGAGCCTTGATGGATGCTGAGGGTCATTCATTCATCCATCAAATACTTACCGCCACCTGCAGCAGGCCATGCCTTATGATAGACAGTGGTGGGTAAAATGCAGGCCTTACTTCCTGGGTTTTCGTTCTAGTGGTGAGAAAGGTATTAACCAAACAATCACTCAAGTATGTAATTACAAACTGTGGTAAATACTGTGAAGTACAGTGTGCTAGTGGCTCATTTAGTCTGGTTCTGGGGTCTGAGGGTTACCCTGTAATGTATGGAGTCGTTAAGGTTCTTGCAGGGAGTGACTTAAACCCAGCATTGCTTTAGGAAGTTTCCTCTAGTGGATAGGATGGATTGACGAAGGATTGGAGCCTGGGAAAACACTTAAATGAAGCTACTGTTATAGATATCATGCATCTGTCATAGGACATATATATGTCATATTTTGGAATTATTTTAATGTTTTAAATGTTTAATGTTGATATTTTCATGTGCAGTTTTCTAGGGTCTTGATGTTGTTTGGTTTTCATTTGGTATATTAGTGAACATCTGTGTTTAGTTAAACATGAAGTTACCATAAAATATTAGTGAACACGTATAGGTTCTTGTGTGTGCCAGAGACACTGTGCTTAGTGCTTTAT